TAATCAGTCTGTTGTAAGTACTGGTAGCGATATTATCGTGCACCATGCCGCTCAAATTTGTAAAAAGCAACAAGGGAAAGAATCAGCTGGTTGCTGATGGTGAATTGTATTACAAGCATGGGGAGGGGTCTAATGGAAAAGTTATTTGGCGGTATGTACAGTATAAAACCGGGTGTCGGGGGATTTGTCACACGTCGTCGGAGTTACGCGATGGTACGTAAATTAATGTACTTAATGGCAGTATCGGAAAATTGTCATTACTCTTTTATTTTTTGCTTATTATAGGTATCATTTTGCATCAAACTGAGCACACAACTCACACTCCTAACGCTGCAGCAGTTGAGACAAAGCGCGTTGTTGCAAAATTACGGAAGAAAGCGGTGACAAGCAAGGAAGCATCATCGTCGTTAGTGGCGTCCGTGCTGGGTACGGTGTCGTCTCCTGTTGCTGCACAATTACCGAGTGCTGAGTCATTGAGTCGGACTGTCCGAGGAATCCGTCAAAGAAACAATCCTTTACCGCCTAATCCCAGGAAGAACACATTGTATGAAATACCAGAACACTTTCAAAAGACATTGAAGAGCGTGAAATTCTTGTTATTCGACTCTGAGGATATTAACAACAGACTGCTTATATTTGCTACGGAGGATAATCTGCAGGTGTTGCGAGGATGTGACATATGGTATTGTGATGGTACTTTTAAAGTAGTGCCTGAAATATTCGACCAACTGTACACCGTGCATGGGGAGGTGAATGGCAAAATTGTGCCTCTTGTATATGCGTTATGCCCTAATCGACGCAAGAGAACATATCAAACTCTGTTGCGGGTTCTAAAAGATGCTATTCCCGGGGTGGCCCCAAAAAATGTAATGTCGGATTTTGAGATGGCATTTTTAAAAGCCGTTACACTAGAATTTCCCGAGTGTGAAATCAAAGGGTGTTTATTCCATTTCGGTCAAGCACTTTGGCGTAGTATACAAGATCACGACCTTGCGCCATTGTACCGCGAGAGCAGCCGCGTAGCTCGTAATTTGCGAATGTTATTCGCATTGGCATTCGTTCCTTCCTGCGATGTCACTTACGCGTACGATGCTTTGCTGCAGTCGAAATTTTTCACGGATAATGAGAAAGATTTGAGAGGTTTTCTCGATTATTTTGAGCACACTTGGGTTGGCGTGTTAGGTCGTCGTAAAGTACGACGCGGCGCAATGTTTGACATTTCTTTGTGGAACCACTACTCCTCAGTGATGGTGGCTGTTGCTCGTACCAACAATGCAGTGGAAGGATGGCACCAAGCACTAAATCGGAGAGCAAATGGTTCGCATCTCGTACTGTGGAAAATGATTGAGTTGCTTCAAGCAGAGCAGGGTCTCGTCGACGCTCACATTGCGCGCGCGAATGCTCACGCTCCTGCGAATAATAGAAACAAGCGCTACAAAGACAACGATGCGCGATTGAAGAGTCTCGTTGCAGCCTACAACCGACAGGATGTGTTACAATATTTGAAGAATGTCGCTGCCAATCTATCGTTATAAAAATGTGTTATGAATTATGTGTTATTTATCTTTGTTGTTAGTTACGCCGATTGTATTACGTTAATTGCGCTTTGTTGGATGCGTTGAAAATCCTGAGGAATGTTGCTGTCAATTTTTTGTTGTATTAAATTATCATGAGTTATGTATTTATTGTCTTTGTTTTTAGTTACGACAACTTTTTTAATTTATTTGCGCTTTGCTGGTTGCGTTAAACTTCTTGAGAAAAGTTGTCTTGCAAAGTATATGCGTGGGATTTTCACACGTGGAAAGTTGTAAACCCATGTGGCACCTCGCCTCGCGCGAAAAGTGTATGCGTGGAGGCAGTAGGTTCCGCCCCCCTGCGGGGGGCTCCACTATCATTAAACTATACACATAGTGTGCCTTGCAAAGTACGTGCGTGGGCTTTTCACACGTAGAAAGTTGTAAACCCATGTGGCACCTCGGTTTTTGCTGGGCACGGAAATTTTTTCCGGGGGAAATATTTTCCGGGGGAGATTTTTTCCGGGGGAGATATTTTCCGGGGGAGATTTTTTCCGGGGAGATTTTTTGATGGGGAGATTTTTTCCGGAGAGATTTTTTCCGGGAACTGATTTCCGGGAGATTTTTTCCGGGGAACAAAACGTCGAGCACGATTTGGGCACATACAACTGTCATCTGACGACAATAACAAAATTACTGCAGTTTATATATATATAATGACACCAAGGCGACGTAGGGACAACATGTAGGAACAATATCGTGTAAATAAAACTAAGATTCAACGTCTAGAAAAAAAGATTCCGTAAAATGAAGTTTTATTAAGCAAAAGCACATTTAGGTTGACAGGATAAGCAGTATTGCGTGTAGCGAGAGATGGCGCAGCAATCGAACAAAGACAGATGCCTCTGGTTAGACAAGGACAGACATAGATATATAACATAGAAAACAGGATTAGAAATGTTGACATTACCGACGTCGAGGAAGTTCGGCCTTCGCTATAGGATCCCCTTAAGTGTATGACTGATTGTGACATTGTATTTGCGAGCATATACTTTCACGTGTTTATGTTATAACAGTTTATGGTCATGGTAATAACAACTTATAATTTTCTTTATCTTTATTTTCTGTTTGCATGCTATGTTCATAATAAATAGATTTCATAGTTACATACAGTGTTATAAGTATTAAATATTAAAGTTTTAACTGTAAATATATTAAGTTACTTTCTTTTCCACTCCTTTGGTTCGTACTGAAGTGGATCGAGTAACTGAAGTACGGACTAATGATTGAGTTGGACACAAGAAATTAATAAATATATTTTTGGTATAGGAATATTAGGAGTCAAGACATTTTGTTTTACACAAATTGCATATTTTTATTATTGTATACTTTTAACTTTATTTAGTATGACATTCTTTTATTTTCATGTATTAATATTTGTCAATAAAATTTCTATTTTATATGTTTATGCTTGGAACTGACTTTGTTAACTTACATTAATATATTAATATGTGTTTTCTATCTAGCCGCATTAGTCCCGATGAGGCTAGGTGCCATTATAAAGGAAGAAGAAGATTTATTATGTGTTTGGTTGGTGTAAGCTATCTATGATTCTCTTTTAGCTACTTTTTTTCACTATTTGCATATTGTACTTGTTTTATAGATTTTGTGAAATTGTACACTAGACAAAAATTTTTCCAGAAAAATATGACCTCAATATACTATTTGCATTTCTATACACACTATCTTTTACTTAAACTATATTTAACATTTTTTTTACATCTTATGCATTTTTTATTATTTTTTATTTTGTTTTACTATTCTTTAATTTGCATGATATTTACATATATATTATTGTATTATTTATATAATTAAGTCTTTGTATGTTTTGTTTATTTTTTATTATTTCATAATTTTTATATTTTTTTTCTTTTTTTTCACAAAATATTGCCAACACGAGTCATCAACTTATTTACATACTTTTTATCCGTTTTTTAAAAAGGCATGTAACAGATTTAATTTTTATTAGTTCTTTCATTTTGTTTACTTTGTTATTGCAATTATCATTGCAGAAATCCTGTAACTTGACAGTTTATACATTTGTCACATATATATACATATACCCATATATACATATACATAGTTGTCATTGTGAATAAAAAGAATTAGATAAAATTAAGTTACAAGTTGTATTATATAATTTTTTTAATCTTTTCTTGATATTTCCTTTTGTGACCGTTTAAATATTGATAGCATAAATAATTTATTGATTTGTGTTATACAACTCGTGTATAACACGACCCACACAGCACATAATATTGCAGAAATATTGCAGCAATATTATTTTTTGATTGCAATATCACAATAAAATGTATCAGAAATATTGCAGTAATATTACTGAGATATCTCAGTAATATTAAAATGTCCACGAAAATGAATATCAGTAATATTACTGATATTTATTTCAGTAATATTGCGGTAATATTACTGCAATATATCAGTAATATTACGGTAAAATTACTATAATATTTGCGTGATATTTGTATAATATTGCCAGGAATTAAAAAACCATTTTAATAATTTTTATTAAATTTTGTTAAATTATTTTTAATAGTATTGTTACATACAATTTTAAAATAATATTGATATTGTAAACGCAATAATATTATTTGTGTAATATTAGATAATATTCATTTAATATTGCTAAAAATTAAAACATTTTAATGAATATTATTAAATTTTATCAAATTGTTATTTTTAATAATAGTATGACATACAATATTAAGAAAATAATATTGATATTATTTTTCTATCTCTTTCTTCTTCAAAACTGCTCCATGCTACTCTGCACTGTATGAATTTCCACTGATAAAGAATGACGTAACACTATAACATAATACAAAAACTGTAATTATTATTTATATCTAATTATACAAGGAAAGTTTTATTTTGTATGCCAATTATCTTCACTAATTATCTCAGAAAGTATTGGTTTATTGGAAAAATGTTTCAGATAAAAGTTGGAGGGTTTATAGAGGAATAATGGATGATCTTATTAGATTTTGAGTCTGGAACCCATGTTGAGCCCAGTAGGGTCCAAGTCAATTTTTTAAATAATAACTCCCTTTTTTATTACATTATCTTTTTCTACTAATTAATATAAACAACTTTTGTCTGAAACATTTTTATTTGCCTTATACTTTTTGAGATATTCAAGAAAAATTTGATAATTTTTTTAATATTTAGCTTATATCTTGATAAATGCTTGTCAGAGGAGAAAATGATACAAGACTTTTTGACTTGATATGGTCTCAAAAATATGCTATTGCAATAATACCTTAATTTCTTTAAATATTTGTGTATACATTTTCTTGAAGCTTTCATATGTACACAATTATTTAAAGAAATTAGAATACTATTGCAACAGTATATTCTTAAAACCAAATCAAGTCAAAAAGTCCTGTACCACTTTTCACTCCGACGAACATTTATTAACAAACATCTATTATAAGCTAAATATTGAAAAAAATACCAAGTTTTCCTTGAATATCTCAAAAAGTATAAGGCAAACAAAAAAATGTTTCAGACAAAAGTTGTTCGTATTAATTAGTAGAAAAAGATGATACCATAAAAAGGGGGTTTCTATTTAAATAATTTGACTTGGATTCTATTAGGCTTAACACAGGTCCCAAACTCAAAATCTAATAAAATTGTCTATTGGTCCTCCTTGAACTCTCCAACTTTTATCTGAAACATTTTTCCAATAAATCAATACTTTCTGAGATAATTATAGCGTAGATGATTGGCACACGAAATAAAAACACCCTATTTATTTCATACATAATTACATATTAAAACATAAGAATACGGGGTTAAGTATGACGTGTTCCGATATTCACTGTCTATACTGAAAATCTATGGTTAATGTTATACATACACTTTAGATTTTCAGTACTGGATATTAAAATATTGGAACGCAGTTTATACCAAGTTTAAATTTTTCTTACTTGTGTATCTAATAAATGAAGCTGTCGCTCAGAAGAGTTTGATAGAAATCAAACTGCTTGGTGCTGCTCTGCGTGAACTTCCACTGATGGAAAGCAACGTAACACTGCAACATAATACAAAAACAGTAATTATTATTTACATCTAATTATATATTTTAAACATAAAAGTAGGTTAAGTATAAATCTGTATTGTGATATTCACTATCTATGTATACTGAAAATCTGTAGTTGATGTTACACGTATACTTTGGATTTTCAGTATTGACGATTAATATTGGAAAGTATGGTTTATATCAAATTTAACTTTTTCTTACTTACATATCTAATAAATAAATCTGTTGCTCTTCTATCAAACTACTTGGTGCTGCTCTGGACTGCATAAACATCCACTGATGGAAAGCAATACTGTAACATAGCATAAGAACAATAATTATTATAAAATCATGTAAATGGTTAAATAATTATGGTTAAATCATTTAATTAATGATTAAACTGCTTTTTAGGAGATTTGGGATCGGCATATTTCTATCACGTATCTCCAACTAAGGGCTCCAGTTGGATTAAACTGTTAAAAATTTTGAGGTTAAGTTAGCATCAAGATTTAAGTATGAAGCCGTTAATAAATAATTTCATTAGAGACTCGCTCAATAAGGTTATAAAGGCAAATATATATGTATTTTAAGATGGTCATTGAAATGATTTTTATGATATTAACGTGGTTTTTGCAGACCATTATGCCACGCAATCTCTATTTTTGAATTTAAAGACAAATCGCCAAATATATATGTACAATGTACATATTAGTAATAATTATACAAAAATACTTTTAAAAATATTTGTGTGAACAATATTTATTAAATAAAGAAAAATTACCTGAAATTAACACGATTGTTTCTGTGCGGTGTCGTACACGTGATTGCGTGGTCCCACGGAGCCATGCAAGAGACAACGAGAGAAGACCGGGAATGGTGGGGGTCGGTGCTGCGACCAAGCGCATAGCCACACACACTAGCG